TTTTATCACATCTCCTTGTTTCATTTCCAATTTTGCTGATGTGATCTGTAAGCATCAAAGCAATGGTCAAATTGTACTCAATCATATTCACTCTATAAGCTGAAACAACTGCAAAAAAAACAGGTACAAAACAACTGGACAAAAAAATCAAAAACAATTATGCATCAGATGAAACTGTAAGAGGAATCACTCACGTTCCAATCACTCGTTTTTTCAGTTCAGCGATCATTCGCCGATCAATTTCGCATGCGATTACCTTTTTAGCTTTTTCCATAAGCACTACTGTCAAATTACCTGTACCAGATCCAACTTCGAAAACAGTGTCTGTTGCTTTGATTGCTGACTGCAAAAGTAGCTGAAGTAAGTTCATACGTCCTTGGTGACATTACTTCTTTCTGTCTTCCGAAGTGAATTTTCTTTTATAAAATGATCACGAGAAAGTTCCAAAGCTGTGATGCAAAATATTTCTTCAGGACTGAAGTGCTGATCATTCTAACTTCGTTCCCAATAGTATGTAATGATTTTCATATGCCAAAACACGTTTAAATATATATTAACTGAATCCTCACCTTTTCAACAATAGCATTGACGACTCCCGGATTCTTCAAAATGTGTTGTCCACGACCAGTATTGAATGGAAGGGCTGCAATTTGAAAATAATTGATCCGCATGTAATATTCCTTAGCATAATTTTTGAAAAGATATTGTTCATAATCCTCACCTTGCATACTGTTATTTGTCTTTGGTGTATTTTTTTTCTTTAATTTAACTTTACCCATAATGACTGAAATAAAATCCAGTTGGGAAAAAATTAGAAATAAAAAAAAATCATTTTGGTAGTAAGAAAACTGCAACACAGTACGACTAATTGCTAAATTTTATGCAGAAAACGAACTTCGTCTGTCTTTTCAGGCAGACGAAGATCCTTTTCATCAGTTAAGAGTATGAAAACTGATCCTTCCTTTCGCAGGTTAATCTATTCGTAAAAACAATATTAAACTGCACCGCCATTATCTTTGCCATTGTCCACAGTTCTCACAAAAAGTCCCATATATGACATGATGAGGAAAGAAGGACTGAAGAACATTGCTGCTAGTTGAACTCTCAAGAGGTGTACTCTTCCCTATTATTTTCAATATTATTCTGTTTCGTCGTTGAATCTACAATGTTTTATGACCAACTTACATTTACTCACAACTACTTCACCTTAAAATATAACAAGTCATCACCCCAACTACCTGGCTGTTTTGAAAGGTTTCGTTTGATCTAAGGTGGCGCTGAGCAACGATGATAGCCACTGGGTTACAATTGATGATCACTGTGATCACCCCGTTCTCATTCATAAATTGTCCCAGTGTACATCTTTATCTATTAAGGTCTAGTCATGTGCACTTTCCTGTGAACTCTGTGATGTTGGCTACTAGATACTTAATGAATATTTTCCACCTGTCCACTCTTTCACCTTCTAAAAAGAAACATTACTGTATCATTTGTTGAATACGGATTGTTGTATTCGCCGTTTGTCATTCTTAATTACAGTGAAATAAGATTATTATGCTTATATTAATATAATTTGTTTCTTAGTTAAAATACATTCAACTTAAGTTTTGCGTAATAGTTGGAAATCCATACAAAAAGGTTTGAAAACAAAGAAGTCGCTTCAAGTGGTGCTGCTCTCAGGAAAGGGTCCCAGTTGAAATAAGGGATTATTTGGCTCCAGAGCATACTGATTTCTAATAAATCAACAAAAAAAGAGAAAAAATAGCTTAACATGACTGTGTTGAACTTGAGAATGGGACATTTGAGTTAACGACTAGAACTTCTACCAATATCACAATTGATCTCAATCTTCTGCCGATCTATACCGATATAATGTTTAGTTCATTCCTTAGTTTCAGAGATGAAATATTCAAACGACAAGGTATTGCCGCTTTCACGTTAATAGGTTCTTAACCTTGAATAAAATACTATCTGAGTTCCGCTTGATCCTACTTATCACAATAAAGTCAGGTGATTACACTATGACAGACGATTTTTTGAAAGCAAATTTGTCGACAATCGACATTATCTAAATTCATTGTCAGTATATTCAGTGATAATGACTAGGATTTGTAAAGAATCCTGGATGAACTTCTGTCTCGATCCACCAAACCATTCCATTTAATTTATCACTTGATTAAGTCTCCCTGTCCTTATCTCTTCTCTTTCAATGAGCATAACGATTTTCATCGCGTTTTTAACTTATGCACTGCAAAGCGAGTGATGCTTTTGGTGCTAACTTTTTGGAACTTTATTTTTTAAATCAAAATATTAAATGAACAATATTAAATTTATAGTCCGTATAAGCGTATAAAATCTAAAAAGATTTCGAGATGATCAAAAAACTTTATGTGTAGTGACATTCTATAAAACAGCAAATTAAAATAATAAAGTAAATACGTATTAAGTACAGATGTGCTTTTAGGGTTTGGTTAATATGTTTGATTGGTTAATACTACTTGACATATGCGAAAATTATGGATGAGTTCCTGCGATATAAGGCCTAAATTTACCGCCAACAAAACCATGGAGCTCTGTAACATGATCACAACGTGTCATCAGAAAGAAGTTGCCTGCTGCATTTCAGGTATAATGAGTGAGATATATGCTCAACAAAATTGAAATCAATAATCCTAAAAGATTAATCTTATCAGGTGATTGTAGGGTTCGCATTTGTTTCCAATGTTCACATTGTTCGCATTTTTTCCATTTGTTTCCATTTGTTTTGATTCAAAAATTACATTCTCATTTTATTGAGAAAAGATCGTATTAGAATTACTGAATATCACAGGTGGCCTTATTTCGCTTATTACTTGGCAGACAGGACATGCACGTCGCATATTTTCACTTGCTGATTAACTGGCAAAATCATATATACATTCGTTTGCAATCAACATTTCGTGGTACACTGCTAACTGTATTTGACAAAGTGATGTAATATTACTCATATCACTGCTATCATCTCCCTCACTCAACCAAGCAGCAACTGTTGGGGAGGGTTGAAGAATGCCATTTGAATTTCAAATTGTAGGAAGATCTAAGCTAACTGAAGTAACGACAACGATGTGTAAAGGGATGTAAGTCTGAAAAGCAGGCTATAGAGTAAACTGTGATGATAAAAATGGTGCAGCAAATAGAGGAAGACAGAGAAGGGTCGAGCGTAGTAACACCAATTAACTGCTTCGAAATATATATATATATATATATATATATATATA